AAAATTGACACACAAAACACTAAACTGCGAGGGCCTCTAAAAAGCTGAGTAAATCATCTCTGAACATTAGTTTTTTACAGATATATTCTTCCTTCTCTAGACCATTTTTAAATTGGGTAGATATGCGAAAGTCAGGGGAGAGTTGAATTCCACCTATGATAGCAGGAAAAAGCTGTCACCCTAGGCATAGGGAAGACCAAGGAACAGCACAACTAGACAGCTATCTATAGTGATTTAAATCATCTCCTTGATCTTTCAAAAACATAAGCTCATTCTGACCTAACTTTCAAAATTTAAATACACTGATGGTTAGCAGAGACTAAGAAAAGGTTACATTTGGGATCAAGAGAACAAGAAACTAATTTTTGGAGGTAATGGAGAGGATGATATTCTCAACATAAATTATAAAACATCTTGAAAATCGGTATACAGTCTTATTTCCAAATTAACAAGCTGCAAGGCGTGACATTTAGAAGTGACACCTACATCTTTGTCACTTCTTTTCAAAGAACACACTTTTCACAAAGAAGGGTGATCGATTTTGATAGCCGTTTGAACTATACCCTTCAAATCAAATATCCTTTCTTCTGAAAAACACACTCATTTACTCCGCACGGTAAACTGGTATCGTTTTATCGAACAGAACGCGAGGACTCGGAAACACGAAGGTTTGGGTCTCTCCAACATTGCAAAGTTCCTGTCGCGGGATCGCGCAGGAAGACCAGCAGCAAAGCCCCGACGCTCGGGATCCTGTCAGGCTCTCCCTACCTGCACCTCACCACCACCTGGATATTCTTCCCCTTCTCTTCTTTCTTCTTCGCGGAGGAATTCGGCTGGGACGCCATGACGAGCCCCGCCGAAAACTCGGGCCTGGCCGCGGACTCGGGTGCAGTGGGCGCGAGGGCTTGGCGGCCGGCGCGGGCGGCGATGTCCACCACCCCTGCGGGCTGCGGGCGTGGCCGCAAGCGGCTCGGCGTCCCGCTCTCCGCTGGGGGCACTGGCTAGCCCCGGCGTAAGCCCCGCACCACCCGGAGTCTCAAAATCACCACTGCCGAGTCTCCCGGAAGGCCCGGAAACCCAGCAACGATTCGGCGCCTCAATTTGAAAAAGGAGCCTGGACGCCCGGCCAATGGCAGCGCGGCCGCGCAAAGCACCATGGTACGTGGGTCGTCACCAGATCCCCACCCTCGGGGCGTGGCCCGCGGCGGAGTGTCAACAAGTGGTGCTGCGCCTCCGCCCAGCCTCGGTGAACTCTGCACTGGGACTCTTGAGCCGCCTTACTCAAATTACGTGAAGGCTCCAGACTAATATGACTTTATCTGCAAAATGGAACCGACAGCAACGACCGTTTCAGAGAGTTACAGGGAGAATTAATGAGGTAGTGAGGGTAAGTAGCTTAGACTGGCACGTGGGAGCACGCAAGAAACTGAGTGGCCGTGATTACTAGACATTTGCAAGAAAGTGCAGCGGGAGCACACAGGGCAGAGGTCTCAGACAGCTGATTTCCGGAAAGCAGCGTCCAGAACAGTCTTGAGAAATAATTAGGAAGCCTTAGAAGTGAGGCTCCGCGGCAGTCTTTTGCCCACCCGTGACTATGCAACTGCTTCTTTTCACTACTCTTTCTGCAGGGCAGCAGCCTCCTGCCTGCCCGTGACCTACATGTACCATGCCGGAGCTTCTCTGCACTGGCCTCCCACCTGCAACCATGCAGGCCTATCTGCAAACCTGCCCTCTTCAAGGGCATCTCTCCCTGCCTTCTTGTGCCTATGCAAGTGTCCAATACTCCTGTCCTTTTCCCTGATAAACTTGTTCTTTAAAAGTACACACTTTCTTTCTTTCTTT